CATTTCCCTTCCCCCTGTTTCTCTCTTTTCCTTGATTTGTTGTTTCATTCCTCTCCCATTTTTTTTCCGCTGTTCCCCCTTCTCCGCAGCCAAACATGACCCTTTCCCTCCTCCTCATCCCCTCTTCTTTCTTTCTCCTCTTTTTCTCGCCACTTCCTCCTTCCTTGTGGCTAGACATAGCACTCTAATCATGGGGAAGTGGGAGAGCAATAACAAAATATAAGAAGAGGGAATGAAGGAAAGATCAAGTAAAAGGAAGAAGGCGGAAGTGGGAAGAAGTCATGGTAATTGGGGGAGGAAAGAGGATGAGAAATGGGGGAAGAAGGGTGACAGGGAAGCGATAGGAGGGACGGAAATAGTAGGAGTGGTGGTGGTGGAGCAAGCAAAATCTATGGGTCTAGGTTTTGTTTTCCTATAAAAATTTTACTCAAATTGGGACTTGAACTTGGTAATGATAAAGGCACCATAGATTTGCAATACAATTGGGTTTTTATGATATTTGAGAAATTTAATTTTGAAATCATGTTTGTATATGCTGCTGGTGGTACTGAGTAGTGATAGTGAACTGGAGGTGTTAATTAGTGATGAAAATTGTATGAAGATGGCAGTGATGGGTGGCAGAGATGGCCACTTTCTGGCAACTGAGAACAAATTTGACCCTACTAATTTTAATTATCAAAATGTTGATGTGAACCATTTCTTTGCCCATTTGAAATGCCATAACATTGAAAAAAAAAAAAAAAAAAAAGCAAGAAAAGTATACTACCAAACCATCAAGAAAAAGAATGATACAGATAAAAGTAAGGAAGAAAAGAGAGGAAAATGGAAAGAAAAGGAATTAAAAAACTATAAGTTTTTGGTTTGGTCAACAATTGAAAGGAAAGGAACCAGAAAAATTTTGGATATGTTTGGATTGTGCTTTTCTACAGAAAAATTTATCATTTTTTGTGAATATTTCTTCTACACAATTTTCAATTATATTTTATTTCATATATATCGTATCTTCTATAATAAATTTTTTCCAAAAACTCCCAAAAAAAAAAACAATCCAAACAGGAAGTCTTTATGCTTTGCCAGTCATTTAGCCAATTTTGAGCAGTTTCTTTTCTAGTTTAGTCAAGAGAGAGGAGTTCTGTAAATATTTCCAATCGATAAGGGGTCCTTTGACAGCGTTTACTGGAATTTACCCTAAATTTAATGAAACTTGCATTTTAGGAGAGAGTAATTTTCCTGTTACCATTTTGAAAATTTTTCCAATCATATCACTCTTACTCCTTTCACAATGAACTAGTCACAAACCCGCACACGCCACAATTTTTAACCCAAACAGCATTTGAATAAAATTACATCTTTGTCCTTGCATTCTTTTCTTTCCTATCATAAACTCCCTCTATATTTGACAAAGAATATATTAGTAGTAATTTTGGATGCTTAATGATCCGAGATATATTTTCAGGTCTGTAGACTTCGCCCCTACCCAGAATGGCTCAATCTCAATACCCGAACGAAACCCTTGTAAACCCAAACACTCCGGCACAACTTTCGGCTGCTTCGGTTCCGGCGACCTCTTCTACCACGGCGTCGCCTCCAGGGGCAGCTGCAGCTGCAGCCTCGGCTATGCATCAGTGATCGAAGATCCGCCTCGGTCGACAACGTTGAAGCGTCCTCGAGAAGATGACAGTGAGGCGGAAGCCGCCGGTACATCCGTTGATGCTCCGGCACTGAAACGGCGGGTCAAGGTCACTCAGGACGTCCTTTACCGTATAGTGGTGCCGTCGAGGCAGATTGGGAAGGTTATTGGTAGAGTTGGGCATCGAATTCAGAAGATTCGTGAAGATACCAAAGCAAATATTAAAATAGCGGACGCTATAGCTGTGAGTGCTTAAATTTTGTTGCTTATTCTCTCTTAATTCTCTTAATTTTGTTTTGTAATGCTGAAAAAAAATTTAAAAAAAAGAGCAATCTTTGTCGTTGTTGTTTTATTAGGGCAATTTAGTGACTTGAAGTTAAACGTAGTAGCAGAACAGAAATGTCTTGTTAGTTTAGGAGTTTGGAATTTGATAATTTTGGTTTTGAGTAGATGATCAATAAGAAAAATCCTTTTAACCATTGATGTCCATAATCGGGCAAAAACGTTGCAAATTGCTTCAGGACGTGGATGTGGGGTTAGAAAGCCTACGTTTTGCAGAGTATATTTAGTTGTAAAAGGCTGGGCTTTTAGAACGCATATTTTCATCTAATTTTCCTTTTTGGTAACTGATATGGAAACCTGGCCAATAGCTTATAAAGCATTTATCAAACGGAGTTTCATTCGTAAATTTGGAGTAATGAAGTAAAATAAAGAAAGATAGTAGAGCAAAGGTCAAATTTTCAAGCATGGCTGTATTGACCTGAGAGGATAATAGCTAGCCATGTGGGATGACTTGTTTGTTAATTACTATTTGAAAGTCACCTAAAGTTAAGACGCTGTTGCGTAGTTAACCTTGAGTTCAGGGAAAAGATGTTGTAAGCTGAAAATCATTAGACAATCCAACCTTTGCGCAGTGCACACATACACATATAATATACATATCACATCTGAACTTGAGCCCATGTAACATAGCCAATTTAGTATTAGGTACTGGATCTTGGCAAACATGTAATGTTTAGTTGAATTAGTAGGAACATGATCAGGAACTTTTCATGTTGAGAGCACCTGGATTTTTTTGGGTAAGAAAGTTTGTAATAAAAAACCTAGGATATTGCTGGGAGAGTATTGAAATGATTTTTTGATAGTTGTGCATGGCTTTGGAGGGATGTTAGATGATCGTAGCAATGTCAGTGTGAAATGATGGCAGATGGTGTAGGTTGGGAAGGATTGTCAGTGTCAGTTGATGAATTTGGCTGCTGACATAGTTTGTGGGAAATGTAGAGTTGCAGTAGCTGATATGGTAGGGCAGTGTTGGTTGGTTGTGTTTGCATGGTGGCGTGGAATATAACAATGATGATGTTGGTTTGACTGTTATTTGAGTCCACTATAGTTTGTATTTTTTCTTTTTTTCATTTCTATTCTGCATTTGTTGGAGATGGAGGGTAGTGGGGCAGAAGCTGTGCTGGAGCGGTACATATATTTGTTTGGGGGGGGGGTGGGGGTTTTGTGAATGGGTCCTAGGGAGCAGGAGGAACTGGTAGGACAACTAGATTGACTTTTCCAAAATGTTACAAACTTTGTAGTATGGCTTTTTGTGTGGTGGCTGGTTGGAATGGGAGCAGTCAGTAAAACAAGAAGATTGGCCTTGTATACCAAAAAAAATATATATACAGAAAATTTTCTGTCTCCTAATTTGAAGATATCTTGAGTGTTGTTTAATTGCGTTCTTTTGGCTTAAGTATATGGCAATCATCCCTCTTGTTGAATAATGGATTTCCGAGGTATTTTAATTTTCTCAAGGATTTAGATACTTTTAGAATTGGAAACCCTCAGCAGAAAAAGTTGTTTGTTTTTGCAGTTAGAGTTGTTGTTGGCAGACAAAGAGAAGTGGTGTATTTGTCTCATCATTGCTAATTGATATATTACATCGCATTTATCTGTTTAGTAGTTTTTTTCTCAGAGAATGGAACTTACTTCTAAATTTTGATGTTTGCAGCGGCATGAAGAAAGAGTAATCATCATAAGTTCAAAAGACAGTGACAACATATTTTGTGATGCTGAGATGGCCCTTCATCATATTGTCAATTTGATCCTTAAGGTGATGGCACTTACTTTTTTTTTCAAATGATATCAAGTGTCCATTGTGAACATCTGTCTCCTGAGAAATCCATTACCTCAGATATGTTGTGAATTTCTAAAAAGTTACTGGTCGTCACCTGAGGATTTTCTTTTAATCGGTCTGAGAATCCTTTCTCTATGTCTGTGTTTGCCTATAGCAATTCCATTCATACCTGCTGTATACAACTTAGGAGCAAAAGTTAGTTGACTCTCCTTAAAAAACTAATTCCAAGAACTTTTAGATATCAATAGATGTAGGACAACTCTGCAACGTGACTTCTCAAACATGTGCAAGAAGCAGTAGAAAAGATTAGGATGCTTGAGAACACTAGATAATCTCTTTAGAAATCTGAAATACTTAATTGTTCTACTGCATTTTTTTTGGGTGCCACAGAGTTTTGGCATGTATATGCTTAATTTTCCCACTTCTTTTCTTTGGGCAACAGATTTTGACCTCTTGTGAGCTTTGTCAGCTTCTACGTGCTTGATTATGGGAATATGTTCAATATATTCTTATTTTTTTGGTTCTTGGTGTGGCAACTTTTGGGTAAGAGAAGTTCATTGATGTGGTAATTTTGATTCTGCATCTGGTAGGATGATGATGTTAATGTTGAGCCACAGAAAGTAGCAGCTGGGCATGTTGCTGCTAATACAATTAGGCTCTTAATTGCTGGTACGCAAGCTGGTGGTTTGATTGGACTGAATGGTCAAATATTGAGAAACTAAGGAACTCCTCTGGAGCTTCTATTACAGTTCTTGCTCAAAGTCAGTTACCTTTATGTGCATCTGCTCATGAGTCTGATCGAGTGGTGCAGGTAAAAACCAAGTTACTGTGCTGATTTAGTTGAAACTTGAAGTGTCATAATGTGAAATTAACCTTGCTAGAGTGCAAATGACATATTGTCTTCTTCTTCTCTTTGACATCTTTTTTTTCAGTTTAAAATAATGGTCACTAGTCAGACGAAAATCTGTTTTTGAACATAATGAGGGAAATGTAATTTTAGTTTCTTGGTTTGTTTTGAGGAAATAGAACTAATGATTGTTTGCCCATGGTGGCTTGTGGCTTCATTTGACTGCCTATATGAGATGATGTTGAGATGTCTAATTTTACCTGATCTGCAAACCAAGGGGTATTTCTGCAGAAATTGTACGAGTCAATACAAAAAGCCAGAGTTTTAGGGAAAATGATTGCGCGTCATTTGCTTGTTTTCTGTTGAATTTTGAATTTTGCTCCATTACATGTCAAATGTAGGTTTCTGGAGACATTGATACAGTCCTGAAGGCTGTTGTGGAGATTGGATGTCAACTGAGGTATATTACAGCTTTGGTTAATTCCGATCAATTTATCGTCTCACTTTCTTACTTCATACTTATATGTAAAAATTGTGCAGGGATAATCCACCTAAACAAGTAATTTCCATCAATCCATCCTATACTCCCGGCTTCAATCGCCAACCTCATCAATACGTTGATCCAGCTTCAGGTTGCCTAATCTTTTTTGTATTTATATAAAAACTGCTGCATTCTGCTGCTGTATGCAATGTTAATATTTTTCTCATAACGGCATGATCTTTAGGACAACCACTCTTGCAGCTGAATATGTAAATCTGGAGATTATGGTTCCTGAATCAATGGTTGGAGGCTTAATTGGACGGTGTGGTTCCAACATTTCAAGAATCAGACTGAGTCAGGAGCAACTATTAAGGTATGTTGGCTCTCTCTGTCATCTCTTTTCTTGTATGCAAGAGGTCAAACTTTTGATTACTGCTCTTGAGGGCTGTCATTTATTTGCACTAGTACTGAGTTTCATTACACCTTACAAATTAGTGATGTTCAAGCTTCCTGCACGTGATTAATTTATTTTTTCAAGTGTAGGACTCCCACCTCTGTGGATTTGGTGAATTTGAACTCTATCTCCTCTTCAGATGTGTTAATGAAATGTTATGCGTGTGATACTTGTGATAGAATAGTTGTATACTTTGGGCTTTCGACCATGTTCAAGTGTGGATCTGAAATCTCCTTCTGCTGTACTTTTTGCTTTGGCAGGTTTATGGTGCAAAGGGTGAACAAACTCAAAGGCAAATTCATTTGGGTGGTAGTGCTCAACAGGTGAACATTGCTCGTCTGTGATATAAGTTTCTGGTTTTTACAGTACTAAGAAAAACAACACCCACCATCCATTCTATGCCCCTCCCCCCCAAAAACCAAAAAACAAAAAAAAAAGCATCAATAAGGGCTATTTGTGCTTTTTTTGTGGACTGATGTATGAGAATCCATCTTGAAACCTTGTGAAGCAGTGAAATAAATTACCCATGAGAATACGGAAATTTAGTTTGTTAACCCTCTATCAAAATCTATAAGTTGTTAAGCTGTACTAATTGCTGATCCATGTAATCTGATTGAGAGTTGATACCAATTACAGGGTAGTTCAATGATGTTTATTTTTCTCTCAAAATTTTGTTGTATTTGAAATAGCGAAATTTACTTGGATTGATTTAGAAGTCTCTCACTATCTAATTTCTACTCCTCACAGGTTAGCCTAGCAAAGCAGAGAATTGATGAATATGTTTATTCCCAGTTGATGCTACAATCGCGGTGTACAGCCATCAATGTAATTTTTATTTTTGTTTCGTATAGTCTTCACTTTATCATTTATTTGGGGCCTTCTGGACCTGCAATTGAAATTGGAATCTCTCTTAGATTGACCGTACATCTAACAAGGATGTATGTTTTGTGTTGTCTTGTGTGATGCAGACCTGCTGTGTCCAACACATTGTTCCAAGCAAATAGTTATCTCCAAGCAAATACTTTATTGCAAGGTTATGGACACAATAGTGGACTTTATATAAGCAGGTTAATGTCCTAAAACTCTATGCTAGGACTTGCATGTGCATGCTTTTGTTCCTTTATGTTGTGGTTTTTTTAAGTGTGGGCAAGTTTGTAGCTTAACAAGCATAAGCACTTGTGTTCACTTTGTATGGAACTGCAGGCAGGTACCTTGTATTGCAGTGAATATCTATGCTTGTAGACCTAACAATCTCTAATTGTCAAAATTCGTCGTGTCTTGGTGGCAACTGTTGTCACTGTAGGATCTAGGGAAGGCAGATGACTGTTGGTTCTATTGTCATATTCAATATTACTATACACATGGTGGAGTTTGAAAGAAAAATTTTGTTAACAATACCTTTTGGATTTATGATTTCTGTGAGGCTTATACGAGAGTTTTTCAGATGTGATTTCGCCAATCTTTCCTAGAAGCTAGTTTCTGTACCTGTGCATGATGCTAGCTTTCGATTGCTTTGGGGCAAGCTTTTTTTTTGGCTTAATTATAAAATTAAAGTCATTGCCAATTGTCTCCTAAAATTTTTTATGCTATTTTCAGGACAACTATGTGTATTTTTTCCTGAATTAGAAAGGAACTGAGCATATCTTCTGATGATTCAATTTAGAACATTCATGAAAGCTTTCCATGTGTTGAGAAGTCAAAGCTAAATCTTCCTATCCTCAATTTCTGTTTTCATACAGAGATTCCAGATCTATATTGTCTTGAACTTACTACCTGTGCTTTTGGAAACTAGAAAATGCTCACCACTCTATGGTTTTGCAGTAATCCTGGAACGGCTATGATGCCATCTCACGCTCCAGTATATCCATCAACCACTGCAGACCAGGCGGCTGCTTACTATGGACAGTCATTCCAGGCACCGCCAATATAAGTCCAAAGTGGCGGCGGCGTTAAGTTAGGGACGAGATAACCAGTGTACAAACTTGTGGACTATTGTAGTGTGAACTTATTCGTTATACTGTAATTTTGTAATCTTGTGGTTTGTCTCAAAAGACACGCTTATTAGTGTTTTTTTTTATCTTTTTGATTATTTTCTGCCCACCCAGAGTTGTCCTTTGGAGATAATAAAAGTTTCAAGTGAATTTTAAAGGTGCATTTTATAGTGCCTTCTCATATGCATGTTAATTTGTCTGGTATGAGCTAAGCAGTGTTTTTTTCACCTTGCCCTCTCAATTTGTTGTCCCTTCTCTATTCCTTTTGATTACTTTTGATGGGATATGGAACCGGTTGGTCGTGCGCATTCATTAGGTAACTGGTCGGGAAGTGGATAGAATTGATCTCTTTTTGAGGGGAAAAATGATAGGGTTGCTAGATTCATTAGGTGACCGGGAATCCTGGTTGGCAAAAGCATTGAGATCATACGGATTTAGTTCATATGCTTATGTGCGTTTAATTTCTGGAAATTACATTGCCTTTGATGTCAATACAGGATAACAAAGCCCAACGGTAAAACTTATTCATTGTTTAATAATTATATTTTATAGATGCTACTGAAATCCAAATATCCTGATACTGACATTGATCTTCAAAACAAGTAGTAGTTCATAGAGAAATTTAATTGTTACATAATATCATTCTGAATTTTGGGCTAGTCCTCATCTCCTTGACACGTTGCAGCTTGCCAAGGGAGAAAGACCTATACCCAGGCTAAATTTGATCTCAAGGAAGAATTTTTTTTTAAAAAAATTTATATAATGACTTCCATTGTACAGTCAATGATGTACCAGCAATCTACAGAATATAAAAACTATACCCTACAAATAAGCCTATACTGCAGGCCTCTGAGTTTTTAGCCCAAACAAGTTCTCAAACAATTTAGGGGCCATGGGGGAATGTCCGCTGGTAGGGGAGCCATAAAATTGACAAGCTTTTCATGGACGTATACCTGCACATAGATATCTGAAACTTATCCAAATGAAAAACAACTACAGTTGGCGCTCATCAAGGTGATACAGAATAAATAGTAATGCTGGCAACTCAACAAGCTAACCAGCTGGGTAACTTACCGAATCTTACGACTTTTTGAGGCGCGTCGATCAACAATTTTCTTTTCTTAGCCTGTAGCCTTCTTACAGCATAAAATGCCGCCTCTGTTTCATGATAAAATACATTACCTCAGCTGGCATTTATATATTAGGTACTAAACAAGAAGTTTCAAAAGGTAAAAGAAAAGCGTTCTCAAAACTTTTAGGGGCAATTTGTCTATGCTTGGCAAACCAGTACTAGACATAGGAGTCCAACAGGCAAGTTTTGGGCTATCTCGAAAATGTATCGATTTCTAGAGATTCACAACTTTGAATAACCAGATGTAATATTTTCTATTGGAGTAAAACATTTCCCACACAGATAACAGTAACTATCTTGACATGCCCTTCACAAAATGCAGAACAAGGATAACAAGCGTACAAAGACAATTATTGAAAAAAAAAAATACACGATAAAAAAGAATCCTTCTGTTTGCTGATATACGATATACTAGAAAGTTTACCTGATGAATTTGGGTCCACTGTCTCAAAGAACTCCTTCAACAGTTGCTGATAGAAGTCAGAGTCATCCAGCAATTCAGGGTCACCACCGTGTGCTTATAACCTGATGAGAGTTAAAAGATTAGACCTAACAAAATGCTATCATACGTGCTTTGGATTACCCTATATAGCACTCTAGGCATCTGTGAGGGAACAGGAACATCAATTATTTCAGACTAGCAGAGTAAGGTGGAACTATGCAGAGCTCTACACCAGCAAAAAATAAATGAGCAATTGCTGTAACATTAGCTTTTGACATCGCATATCAAGCAATAAATTCTGCAACCCCATGATGCTTCCAAACATATGTTTGGGTCACATTCGTTAACGTCAAGGAATAATAGTCCAAACAATTTGAGATATCACGAAGAGAAGTGATAAAAGGTTTAAACGGTTTACAAAAGCAGGTAACTTGAATTTTAAGCACGTATCCAGCGGTTTTCAACAACCTGATTCCACTGAAAAACCATTTTGTATATACTGCAGAATGAACTATATACCAACAAATTTCTTCATTATTTGGGTAAATTACACATAAATCCCATGGTTTCACCATTGTCACATGACCCCCTAAACATTTCAAAATATCCATTTCACCCCATATACTTCCATGTAAAGTGAAAACTTGACGGAAAATAGCGTCTATAATGTCGTTAGTTGAAATACCAGTATTTCCCTTAAGTATTAAATCGAACAACGGTCTGACCACCTTGCACAAAACTATGGGACAATATATGGATAAATGCTAAAACCACAAGGGGGTAAAGTAGACATTCATGCAAACTATAAGGGGGTTAAGTGAATATTATGATTCAGTCATACATTTTTGGACTGCATTTGGTTCAATATCTGTAACCTGTGGTGCTTTCTGTCCATTTTCCACTTACATAAAACTACAAGGTGTTATATGGCTATTTTGAGGTACCATTATGCAAAACCACGGGGTTACATGTAATTTATCTTCATTATTTTAATCAAACAAGTTGAAGCTTAATCCTAGAATAACCACAGAAACCAAGTCATCAGAGCCAGGTGATACCTCTGGCTGATTATGAACAGTAGAACCCAGAACCTGTAAGAGACGAGCAAAGAACTAGTTTATAATTCCAACATACTATATTGCAAAGCAGATAAAGAGGGAATTCCAGATTCAGAAGCTAATCATTGCAATTGGGAAACCAAATATTACATTTCCAAATTGAGCAACTGCCGATCTATCCTGTTGCATTCCCTTGATCATTTTACTTGGATCCCTCATATACAGAGCCACTTGTTCACTAATGTTCTGCAAAAATCAACATGATCACTCTAACTGGCTATGCTTTTAGCTGCATCACGGCACATTATACAAGAACTTGGACTAAACCTGGTTGAACGCGTGTAACCTCCCTTTGAAAGAGGCAGCTCCACTTGTCACCTGGGTCTTCCTCTGCCATTTATCTATCGATTTGTTCCTAAAAGAAGCCATCCTGCATTATCGAACACAAGTAAGATATCAATTGACACCAATGGTGCAACTTATGAGTAAAAATGCTCAAGTCTAAAACAATAGTACAATTATTTACACGGAGAAGAATTTATGTGTGCAGAAAATACAAGCAACCATATGCACTTCATAGTTTGGAGAACGGAAATAATTGCCAATATTGCAGGAATTACATGGATCAACAAAATTACATTACATCAAATTGCGGAAAAGAAGAAGCATCTCATCAACAGATCAATAATTCCATGCCATTTAAGTAAATTAAGTAATGTGTCAGATCCATCTTTCTCCTCAGACTTCAAAAGAAAGTAGAGTTGCATTTAATATCACCATGCGTATGCACAAAATGATGATAAATAGATCCCAATAAAAGGGGAAAATTTTTGCTACTCCCTAATAATCTACCCGGAAGTTAGCTTGTTTGAAACAAAAAAAAAAAAAAAAACTTCCAAAAGCAGCTATCAAATGATACAAGCTTCAATTTTTGCAGTTATTAGGGCCTGAATTTCTTTTGCTCGATGAAGAATATAATCTGGACTTAAAGACTCCCATGCCATTATTGTACACTTGCAGGCTATAAACATTTTTTACAGGGGTAATCTTGTAGGTCTGGTTTACCTAAAGAACACATAGATTTCTCTCTCAAAGTGAATATGCTAATAATATGTGTATGAAACCAAGTGAGGAGGCCTTCTATATTAGTTAAAGTACCTCAGCTGCATCTCAGAGATCCGCAACCATTCTTCATCACCTTCCCATTTGAGTTTCCTGAAGCTTCTAGATAATTAGAATTCTTAGCAGAGCCGGCTGTGGAGGAGAAAATTTTAGCCATCAAATATGCATATATCAGGATCCATTCGAGAAAATAAATTAGATCAAACAAATCAATAAACAGACTCAAACCAAAGTACACGCTTAATGGGATTACTATGTTGTGCTTATAATGGAATACATGAACTTTTCTGAGCAAGGGGTGGAACCATGTACAATCAGAAGAAACTTCATTACCCAGATCCGAAAACTGGAACAGTAAGAGTTGCCAAAAACCATATATTTTATTAACCTGGCAACTGGACAACATACCTAGTGGGCAGGCAAAGAAAACTCACATTGTGCTTCAGAAATACAGTATTAGCATCTTACATACCAAAAGGTGCTAAAAAGTACCAGATTAAACACCAAAAGTGACTAACTTATTCCCCATTACTGACTAAGGTCCGATATTGAACAGCCAAAGAAAAAAAAAGGAAAACCTCACATAGTCCCACATTGGCATAAATCACTGGAAAATAACTTATTGTACCTTCTGCAGACTGAGCAATAGTAGGATTCTTGTCTAGCAGTACCTGTTTAAAACACATGGACTATTTGGTCAGAACAAGGAATTGATAATTTCAAAGAAATCCAGTGCTGTTGCGTCTCATTAACATTGCTATACCAAAAAGCTTTGTCGGAGTTGCTACGTTCAGAAGTGAGAAAATTTTTTTACCATACTGTTACCTCCTGTAACTCGAGAATAGAGTCTAATGTTTTTTGCGATGAAGTGATTAGATCCGAATATGCTTCATTAACCCCAGTTTCCAAGCTACAAAAAGAGGACTTGATTGGCTCCTACATCATAGAGGAATTCTTCATTAGTGCATGCATTTCCACACATGAAGAGATACAAGGGCGTATAATTCAAGTTAAACTAAACCTGTGGAAGCCTGTTGGAATATGAAAATGCCTTTTGCAACAAAAATCTAAACTCCAGAGTCTGTCCCAAAGAGCCTTCACAGAAAGAAGACATGTAAATCGCAGACAATTATAATAACTTAAAAATAAACACAATCTATGAAAGCTATATGAAAGTGAGGTTACAAGAAAATGACATTCACTTAAATCAAAGGGTGAAAAGATAAGATTGCTTGATGGCTATAACATACAAGCAAAACAACTTCATACCTTCTGATTTTTCACTGCACGACCTATTAGAAGATCCTCATCCTTATGGCGCTTTAGGTTCTTTAAAACATCTCTGTGCAATTAATAGAAAAAGAACTGAATACAGTTAAAGGGTAAATAGATTAACAGGAAGCTGTAAGCAATAAAACTTTTATTAACATCCTTTTTTTAAATTGGCTAATTTTTTCACAAGTAAAATGGCTGACTTTCTTTAAGCATGTAACAAGATTGAAAAATATTGTGTTTGGATGGGAATTATTTGCCAAAAAATTATTTTCTTGCATCGCAAACACATTTTCCAACACACCTTTTTATTTTCCCAATGACCTTTTTATCTCACATACATCACATTGCAAAAAGTGCTACAGCAATTATTCCAAATACTAATATTTCAAATAATCTCCTATCCAAACACGCATTGTTTCTCTTCAAAAGTGCCATTTAGCAATGCTTAGAAGCACAATACACACATGATCAGCAGCATACACACACGGATAAATCCAGTATGGCAACATCTAGTCAGCAGTTAGCAGCTCAAAAATAAAAATGGCATGTCAAATACATTAAAAATTGTTAACGAATAAATCCCATTAGCTACGTAGCACTAACTGCTAGATGAATCTTCACAAGATGGAAAGACTTGCGTATATCATGAATGAGAACAAACCTGTATGCTTAGTTATTTCTAAAAGCCTTCCTTGCTTACCATTCCATTTAATCCCTAAATTCATAACTTCAAAAGTGTTCACGAGTTCAACAACTAACAAATCCTGGATTGACAATAAAACCACAAGTTCATTTAAGGTTTTAAATATTGACGTGCAGCTCCAAAAAATATACAAACTTAGCAAAACTGAGACCAATCCAATTCCAATATATCCACACAGACACATGGGGTGCATTTTCCACTCATAATTATGTAAACAATACACAGGCACATAAGCATAAAAGATGCTTTGTTTGAAAATAAAGAGGATCTTACCAATCCAATTCCAATATATCCACACAGACACATGGGGTGCATTTTCCACTCATAATTATGTAAACAATACACAGGCACATAAGCATAAAAGATGCTTTGTTTGAAAATAAAGAGGATCTTACTGCTCCGCATGTTGAAGCTCCATATATTCTTTCTCTAGCTGTGCCATCTCCTCATCCTTTTGTTCATTGATTCCCTCTTTCCCCTCTTCTTCTTCTTCTTCATCATCATCATCATCATCCTCTTCATCTCCATCTCCATCTTCATCATCTTCATCATGACTCTCTTCTTTTCCTTCCCAACCATTCTCATCGCTATCATAGTCATCACTATGGCCCTAAATATAACAGAGAGTCAATCATTCAACCATAAAAGAACAATAAAGCAAAATCTCATCCCCTAAGAATCCACATAAGAAACTAACAAAAAGAAAAAAAAGGCAAGAAATCAAATGAAACTAACATCAGGTAACACATCATTCTTCATGGTGTCCCTGTCTTCATCAAATTCAGATCCACTATGACTCTCACTCTCTTCTTCTGTTGTTCGCCGTCTCTTCAAATGCTTCCCCATCTCCTTAAAATCCTAAATGCCCAAAACCAAACCACAAAAAAAAACAACAAACATTAGTTTTGT